GAGACTCGGATCCGGTGCAGCTTGGGAAAATGTTGACGGCAGGTCGGAGTGCTACAGTGGTGCTGCCGGCACCCTGCTGACACCCCGGCATTCTATCGCGATGTGGCTCGGCTGACCACACCCAAAACACTTGGCCGTGGGACCCCAGGGCGGAGGGGGCTTCCCCGGTTGCCAACCCACCTGCGGGGGCCTTCTCCCGTGCGTCCCCAGGCCGCACACCACAGCCACCATGTCCTCCTCCCGCCACGGCCAAGCCTCCACTTTGGGCCAATGCTGGCGGGCCTCGTGGCCCTGCATTACCCGGGCCACATTGAAGGACGTCATCCCCCAAGTCTTCCACGAAGGGCTGGACGATCCCCAACTCCCGCGCCAGCAGTTATTCCACCGCCAAGGAGTCGAGCGCCATCTCACCCGTCTGGGAGTACGCGGTCTGCCCCAGCACCAGCAGCGCCTCCCGGAAAGTGAAGGGTGTCTCGGCTTCCCCTCGCTTCCACTGGAGAAATCTCGTGCGGGCATCGCACGGGAGGCCAAAAATATCCCCTTGCAGCGCCATTAACTCCGCCGCCCCTCCAGCGCTGTCCCGCGCTTTTCGCAAAATAGCTCCCGCCAGCCATGCCAAGCCCTCCACGAGCAAAATGGCACGCACCACATGCGCGGTCTCCGGCCCAGGCTCCTCTGCTCTCTCACAGAGACGAGGATCGCTGTCAGGGTCCCTTCGTGACTCCTTTACACGCCGCTGGCTGTGGAGCGACTCCCACACTTCCCCGCGCTCCCCTCAACACGGTGGTCCTCGGCCATGCCTCGTGCTCGGCGCATGACCGCGGAGCATCGGGCTCCTCTCTCACCAATTTTCCGCCACTCTCCCGCCGATCCGCAGCCGCTCTCTCTCCGCTAATGGGCTTCGTAACCAGGTTCCCGTGGCTGCCGGAGGGATGAATGTTTCGCCATTCCCATCCTCCAATGACACTATAGGTGGGTTCTTTCTTCACCCCACTCCTAACACCAGTTGTAGTGTCATCATTGCGGGAGACAAGGTTTCTAAGGGGGCACCTTTATTAATACCTTCACAGTTTAACACATAGGCTTTCGCGACCAATATTATTCATAATGAACATTTCTGGGTTTAGATCGCGTAATTTATAAATGTCGTAACCCTCCACCACCCGACATGGCCAATCAGTAAAAAAGTGTCACGTTGACAAAAGACAAATAGTTCACTGCTTAAGCCCACCAGTGTGTTGAAGCATGAAACCACAACATTTACAATTTGAGTACGACGTTTCGCTGGATGCAATCCTTGGGGATCTTCTGATGCCTGTGTTCTCTGGTGATTTTTAAGAGCAGGTGAACCTGAAAATGCCTTCCCACATACACTGCACATGAAGGGTTTCTCCCGTGTGTTCTCTGGTGGACCTGAAGAACTGATGACCGTGCAAATGCCTTTTCACAGAAGTACTTTCTTTGGTGTTCTTTTAGTCTTATTAAATAATCTCAAACACAACTGTCGGCAGTGGCAGTACATGCTTGTCAAGGACACTCAATTGGTTTTGTTAATGTTGAAGTGTTGTATAAAACGAATTATTACTGGACAAGACTAATTAGATAATCCATTGAAATTGAGCGAAATACAAATAACTTTAATCGCTCTGACAGCTACAGGCTTAGTGCGGCCTGGAAGCATATTATTTAAAATCATATATTACAATTCCCATTCCTTATAGGGGAAACAAATAGCAATGAACAATTGAATGATTACCAATCTCCTTATACGAATGTAGTGCCGTAGATGGGCCACACTTACCGGCAGTGGTAGACGAGGTCCATCTGCAAGGGTGCCCCGTACCGCCAAGGGGGGGGGGGGGGGCTGCGGGGGATCTACGATCCCATGCAACGCCACCCCTCGATGGGCAAAGGGACATTAAAGGGGACCTCCCCAGCTGATCGGGACCAGTCACAGCTCAAGACCCAAGACCAGCCAGCTTAGGACCCTGGACCCCCTCGCCCCGATAGTCCTTGTAAGGGCCGGGACGCTGTGCGGGCCAGTGATGGGACTCTGGGACTCCCGGCTCTACGCCCTTGTAAGGGCGAGTTCCGAGGAAGCCAAGAGTCGAGACCCGCACCTTGGCTGGGTCGGGTCAGGTAGCCTCCCCTAGGGTAATTGTAGCCGGAGGACCCGAGAGCGTAGCCAGAGTAGGCTGTGTCCCTAGGCTGTGTCCCTAGGCTGTAACAGAGGACTGTTGGAGTGTGGTATCGAAATACAGTAATCCCTCGCCACTTGGCGGTTCAAGTTTCGCGGGCTCAGTGCATCGCGGATTTTTCAAACTGATTTAAAGGCCTCATTATGCCTGTGCAGTAACACCATCATTATCATTCATCATCACATTTATCGAACTGCACAGGTCTGTCATCGTCTTCATCGTCATTGTCATCATCGTCGTCATTACTGGCGTCAAGTCTCAAGATACTACTGTCATTGGTGAGTGTAGAACACCACAATACGTATCGTATGAGAGATTGAATGTATAATATTAAGATTTTCTAATTAAATAGATTTAAGTAAAATATATATATATAAAGTATAAATATACATATTTTAAACATTCTAGTACCCACACACACATATACGGAAATTCCTAGGGGGCCAATCCTACTTCGCGGATTTTCACCTATCGCGAGGGGTTCCGGTCCCCATTAACCGCGATAAACGAGGGATCACTGTAAAGAAGTTACCTTTACAAGTGTCTCCGGAACCCATTACACATAAAAGGCAAAGTTGTGATTGTGTGTCTGTTCAAAATGTTAAGCGTACTTCCCGACATGCAACAAACTTACCATGTGGATACTTTCCAGACTGTACACCATGCAAAGATTATAAAAATAAACTTTTTTTTGGGGGGGGGGGGGGGGAGCATATATTTTTTGCACGGTGAGCTGACGTCAAATCTGTCATGTGACCCACGCATGTGGAAGCGTTACGCATTGTAGTGTAGTGGTTAGCGCGCTGCACTACGAACCCGGCACCCAGTTAAATTCCCGCTCACGGCCACTACCGGTAACGACTATTTGAACCGGTCCTGGGCCTCCCCTAGGTCGACTCAGCCTAAAACGAGTAACTGGTATGGTGTGTGAACATCGCCACTGGGGAGACAAAGGCGGCCAGGCGTGGTGAAACCAAGTCACGGGCGAAGCCGGGTAGTAAAGCTAGTCAATAATATAATTACAATACCCTCCCCGTCTCCGCCTCGAATCACTGCAGCAGATTGAGCTAAAAGATGACGTCACCCTGTTGTTCCATTTAAGACCGAGAGCAACTAGAGGGCCTCACCATTCTGGCAAATTGCCCGATGATGCTGCATGTAATTACCAGCGACACGTTGTACTCAAAATTTTAAATGATGTGGAATCACTCTTCAACACACCGGTGGGCTAAAGTAGTGAACTATTTGTCTTGGTAAACATGACACATTTTTTACTGTTTGGCAGTGTCGGGTGGTGGAGGGTTACGACACATTTGACTAATATTGGTCGCGAAAGCCTACGTGTTAAACTGACCATGTACTGTGTTAGCTACTGGAAGACAAAGGTGGTTGGCGAGGCTCTGATCCCGTGGAATACATATTATCTTGGTCGTGCGTGAATGACATATTTCGCATGATCTCTTCTGAATGACCCTAGGTCTAATACTTTCATAATTACTTGGTTTATGCCTAACCAAGATTTGTGGTATACCATAGTTGTTACCAAGGATATTACGAGGGTTTAATTAACATTTGTTCCCAGTCTGTATTGCCAGGGATCCGTGCTTCTTATTCTCAAGTTATATTTTGATATCCTGAGGTTGAAGATATAGCTAAGTTTCAAACCTTACTGTTGTATTTTTTAAAAAACCCCAGTTAACTCGTAATGATTAACTGCCCTTGGGTGAATTTCGCTGTCCAAGGGAGGTTCATGACCCCTGCCGTTTTCGTCTTTTGTTTTATTGTGGGGTTTTTCGTAGAATCTCATTAGCTCCCCCCCCACCCCCCCTTGGGTTTGCCATTTTTTAATACATTTTATGACTTCCCAAACAGGCTTGTGAGTAATTATCCTCCAGCTGTCTTTTGCGTGGCAAGGCAGGAGGCAGGGGGGGAGACTCATGCCACAGCACTACATCCCGATCAAAATTATTAGAAAAAAGAAAAAAATCACCCAATATAATTTTATAGAAAAGGCATATATACAACATGCTCTTCGAGTGTTTGTGATGAGATGATACAAAACAACTGAGTTGCTGAGGCGATTAAGCAAGCACCATATAAATGCTAAAATTATTATAACATTGTATAACATAGAGAATGCTTCGGAGCTTATTGGCTCTGGCTCCTGGTTAGAGATCTACCCAACCCACAGGTCCGCAAATACTGGCTGCTCTTACTCTGCAGGTTGAACCTAGGAATTGAGTGTGCGACTTGACGTTATTTTAATTAAAGGCCTGTGACAAAGGTGCATATATTGGAGTTTCATTGTCTCAAGCTTACACATCCACCGGGTCTCCATTTGACTTTGTATTGTCTAAGAAGTCCACCCACACCTCCACTTCCACAAACTCCTGGGAGTTGCCTCGCTCTGCCTCACAGTCAGAATTCTCCTCCTGCTTCACGTTGCCTACATCGATGTGAAGGTCCGATTTTGGAGTTGAATCTTCATCTTCACATTTTACCATCGCTTCTTCGCTCTTCACCATCACTTCTTCACATTTCACCTCTTCAAAATCTACCTTGATACATTTAATTGCGTCCAAGCAGGAATTAAATTCTGGTTCTTTTTTCAGCAGGGATGGGCTCATTGCAGCACTTGGACTGACACAAGCCGATTTCAGACACCGCTCCTTGGGGATCTTCTGATGCCTGTGTCTTCTCTGGTGTCTTTGAAGATGTGATGACAGTGCAAACGCCTTCTTGCACAGAGTGCAATTGAAGGGTTTATCTGTGTGTGTTCTCTGGTGGCTCTGAAGATGTGATGACTGTGCAAATGCCTTCTCACACATAGTGCACCTGAAGGGTTTCTGTCCTGTGTGTGTTCTTTCGTGGTCGTGAAGATGTGATGACCGTGCAAATACCTTCCCACACACACTGCACTTGAAGGGTTTATCTCCTGTGTGTGTTCTCTGGTGGTGCTTAACATTTGATAACGTTGCAAATGCCTTCTCACACACACTGCACTTGAAGGGTTTCTCTCCTGTGTGCATTCTCTGGTGTGTTTTCAGATGTGATAACGTTGAAAATGCCTTCTCACACACAGTGCACTTGAAGGGTTTCTCTCCTGTGTGTGTTCTCTGGTGTCTCTTAAAATATTTTGACTTTGCAAATGCCTTTTCACACACAATGCACTTGAAGGGTTTCTCTCCCGTGTGTGTTCTTTGGTGTGTTTGAAGATATGATGACTTTACAAATGCTTTATCGCACAAAAGGCACCTGAAGGGTTTCTCTCCCCTGTGTGTTTTCTGGTGTCGTTTCAGAGGAGATGAACCTGAAAATACCTTTACACACAAACTGCACTTGAAAGGTTTCTCTTCCGTGTGTGTTCTCTGGTGGATCTGAAGAGTTGATGATCGTGCATATGCCTTGTTACACACAGTGCACTTGAAGGGTTTCTCTCCTGTGTGTGTTCTCTGGTGCTGTGTCAAACTTCCAGTACGATCCGTGCTGTCTGCATACTGGTCGCATTGTTTCCTTCTTGTACCGAGCTGCGCCGAGTCCCTTTGCTCCATCAGACCAATTCTGCTGAGGAAGAGTCAGAGGAAGCGTCAGTTGCAGACAGAAAAACATATCCACACCATCTACGTCAGTATCAAGGCACAGAGGAATGAATATATACACAGTCACACATGACTAACATATCTATACTTATTCCTATATTCATGATATAGTGAAAATAATTCCCCAATTCATCACACGGGCTGTTAAGGCACACAATGAGAGGGCCAATGGTCATAAATATAACTGGACACCCTAGTATCTTCAAAATGAATGTTTACCAAAAACTCCAAGCACACAATTTTGGCTGTCGAGCTATGAAAGAAATATTTAAGAAAAATTCAGCTATAATAGCAAAGTGTGTTACCAATAATACTATTTGTATTATGCAGAAATACATCAATTAATGTTCAATCGAAACTTCGAGGTGGAAGCCAGGCTCAGATTTGCTTGAATGCTCGGATGAACAGATCTAACTTCAGCTGCATATGTGCTGAGATATTTTCCTGTTTCCATTCTTACAAAAAGTCCCAGAGGAAAACTAAATTAAACTATTGTTTTGATTTAACCTACATGTTCAATAGTTAATATACTTTACTGCAAATACAAACTTGACACTGTCACACACCCGCATGGTAAAAAGGTGGTGGTGTGTCCAGAACTATGCCTGGCCATCTTCTCTCTGCTCAGTATTAATGCTTCCTCACACTTCACCATGTAATTAATTCAAGATTAATCAACATAGCAGGGGCCCACAAGTTCAGCTTTCACTTACACTATGTAACACGATTTTTGTCCCTGGATGGCTAGTGTTATTTTTTTTATTGGTTATGCCCACAAACTTTCCTTTTGTGACCAGGACTTTACGTTAAGGAATGACACAAATCCACACATTTTCGCATTGAAAATAGATACATTTCAAAATATCACTGTCCTGGTCACAAAAGCAAAGTTTGTGGGGAATAATAGCCATTTTCTGTACTTGTGAGGCATAAGCAATTAGAAAATAACACTTACTACGCAAGGACAATTTTTTTTTTGTTACGCAGTGTTATCAATCATGTTTGCTGTCGGCGATAATCAAACTAATTGTAGAGTTCATAATGCAGTGAAATAACTGCGCTACAGCTCCCCACAAAGATAAACTCTTAACTACACATGCATTTCATATGGGTAATAAAACAGGTCGACGCCATGCGACTGTGTCTCCGTCTCTTTATTCTTCGTTATGGACAGCTCGCGTTCCGCTCCCCTCAGTCACTCCGCGGCACGTCGTTGACTAACGTCCCGCTCCCGCGCGGCTCTCGCCCTTTCCCGCTCCCGCGCACCGCTGGCCAACGGCGCGCTGGGAGCTGTCTCTGCGCTGCCACGTAGCCGATGGCTCGAGGAGACTCCCGACGTGGTCCAGCTTCCAGCTCCCACCAACTGACCCCGAGCCCCTTCCGGCTCCCCCTAATATCCCCTTTCAACGTCACCCAGACTCCGCCCTAAGCCACACCCCATAAGAACCTTCCAGATAATACCGCTCCCTTAACGCCCCCCGACTCTGCCCCCAGACCCTGCCCCCAATACATCGTGGCGCCTGATTGGCTTAGGGCTGGGGCGGCGAAACCTCACATACGCTCGTATTACACATGGATCATTAACATCTGACCTATAAACGTCATTATTTCTGTCTGTGTACAAAACTTGCGAAGGATTTGGTTTTAAAAAAAGAACCCAGGTACCACTCCATAAGCCCTGTAAGTAAGCCAGTGCTATTCCATTTTCACATCTGTCAGTAGTTTAATAAAAAATGTAGTGCTAAAGTCACATACATAAAAAACTATTTACTAACTTATTTACTCTATATAAAAGTTTGTGTGTGCGTGGGTATGTCCATGTGGGTGTGTGAGTCCATATATGTGTGTGCGTTGTGTGTGTGCGAGTTCGTGTGTGTGTGCGATGAGTCAGATGCCTTCTATGACCTCCTGTTACAGGTGCTAGCTCAAGTGGCCCCACGGGATAGAGTCATCTTGTTGGGTGACTTCCATGCCCGAGTTGGTCATAATGCTGGCACCTGGACTGGAGTGATTGCAAGGCATGGGCCAGATCAGCTCAATAACAACGGTAGGAGGCTGCTCGATTTTTGTGCAGCCCATGGGCTTGTAATTACCAACACGCTGTTCCGGCATCGGCACATCAACACAACATCATGGATGCATGCCGGGTCCAAGCAAGAACATCTTCTGGACTACATAGTGACGGAACAGCGGATGCGGGGGGCCCATGTCCTTGACACCAGGACCGACCGTGGAGCTGATCTGCCCATCGACGTCTCAAGATGGCGGCGGCGTGTGCAACGGTGTGCGAGTTGTGCTGCGTGAGTGTGTGTGAGCTGTGCATGAGAATGAGCTGCGTGTGAGCTGTGTGTGTGAGTGAGCTGCGTGTGAGCTGCGTGTGTGAGTGTGTGTGAGTGTGTGTGAGTGAGCTGTGTGTGCGAGTTGTGCTGCGTGAGTGAGTGAGCTGTGTGAGTGAGTATGAGCTGTGCATGAAAATGAGTTGCTTGTGAGCTGTGTGTGAGTAAGCTGTGTGTGTGAGTGAGCTGTGTGAGTGAGTGTGAGTGTGTGTGAGTGAGCTGTGTGTGTGAGTGAGCTGTGTGTGTGTGTGAGCTGCGTGTGTGAGTGTGTGTGAGCTGCGTGTGAGTGTGCTGTGTGTGTGAGTGAGCTGTGTGAGTGAGTGTGAGCTGTGTGTGAGTGAGTTGTGTGTGTGAGAGTGTGTGAGTGAGCTGTGTGAGTGTGCTGTGTGTGAGTGTGAGCTGTGTGTGAGTTGTGCTGTGTGAGTGAGTGTGAGCTGTGTGTGAGTGTGTGAGTGAGCTGTGTGTGTGAGTTGTGCTGCGTGAGTGTGAGCTGTGCATGAGAATGAGCTGCGTGTGAGCTGTGTGTGAGTGTGTGTGAGTGAGTTGTGTGTGTGAGTGAGCGGTGTGAGTGTGTGCTGTGTGAGTGTGCTGTGAGTGTGAGTGAGCTGTGTGTGTGAGTGTGTGCTGTGCATGAGAATGAGCTGCGTGTGAGCTGTGTGAGTGTGTGTGTATGAGTGAGCTGTGTGTGTGATTGAGCTGTGTGTGAGAGTGAGCTGTGTGTGTGAGTGAGCTGTGTGTGTGTTTAAATTGTGTTTAAATTGAGATTGGCGGGTGCAGGGGGGTTTAATCGAGACGCCGTGCCCTGTGCGTTGTGCTGTGAGGAAGGCCCATTTGCGGACACGTCGCCTCTATATATATATTGCCAAACGTTTCAATTTAAAGCTTTCGTGACTGCAGGGATTGATCTTCTTGGTTCTTTCGGTAAAGTCACGTAGAAGGGAAATAATAAAATAATAAAAATAAAACATAATAAAATAATTCTCACGACGTTTCAGTCACAACGCAAGCAGCCGTCCTCGGGTGAAGACCAGGTCTGTCGGGGAGACAGCGTCTGAATGAAACATGAATAAATTTGAGACTGACGCCATCCAGACTGCCACTCTACGTCTAACCTTATGGAAGAGGTATGTAGATGACACTTTTGTCATCTGGCCACATGGCCGGCCTGCTCTAGACCAATTCCTCGACCACATCAATTCCATACACCCAGCCATCAGATTCACCATGGAAGTCGAAAAGGATGGCAAGCTAACCTTTTTGGATGTCCTAATTAAAAGGAGACCTGATGGTTCAATGAGTCCCTCTGTCTACAGGAAAGCCACCCATACGGATGCTTACCTAAAACCTGATTCCCACCACCATCCATCCCAGCAGAATTCCCTCATCAAGACTATACCATAGAGCCCAATGCATCTCCTACCAGGAACACATTGCCAGTGAACTCAAACACGTACGCCATGCTCTTAAGGCTAATGGTTACTCCGACTACACAATCCGCAAAGCCATCACTCCAACCATCAAGAAGGATCCTGTTGAGGAGCCTTTCAAAACCATCACCTTACCCTACATTGCTGGGGTCACAAAAATATCTCCAAAATCCTGATTAAACACAAGATCCAGGTCCAATTCAACACAGTACATAAAATCCGTGATCTGGTCCCGTCTGTAAAAGATGTGGTTCCAGACATACAGTACCCTGGCGTCTACAAACTAAGTTGCCTCTGTGGTAGCAGTTACATTGGAGAAACCAAACGACATGTCTTGGACCACATCCGTGAACATAAAGCAGACCTGAAACACGGTAGGACAAACACCTCAGCCGTGGCAGATCACTGTTACAATTCAGTGGGCTCACATGACATTGACTTCTCCAAGACAGAGGTTCTCTGCAAGCCATCTGGTTACCATGAGAGATTCGTTCATGAGGCGATCCACATATACAAACACAGAGACAATTTCAACTGAGAAGATGGATTCTGGCTCAGCAATCATTGGAAGGACGTAATAAACCATTTCAGATCTTAACTGATTGTGTTCACGTTTATGGTGACTTTCAGAATGCAGTCCACTCACTGGCATTGACTATATATCTTGTATTCTCCGCAGGGAATGGATTCTTTCTCCGCTGCAAATCTCCTACTACCACTCTCCCATTGACATATTTCGTTGCTTCCTCTTAGTATCTTTCACTCGACGGTCAATGGTATAGTGTATAGCAGATTGTATAATAATAAATAGTATACAATTGTAATGTTTAATACAAAATATAAGGCAATATATAGTATCGTAATTGTATAGTGAATATACAGCAGTGTGATATACAGTAGGGTGGATAGAATAATACATAGTGTAATATTACACTATGTATTATTCTAAGGTATAGGGTGGTGTATAGTAATACAGTATATAATTTAATGTTGGGTTTGTCTATGGCAGCATATAGTACGGGGTAGACCCGTGTGATGTAAGGGAAAAAAGTTTAGCTGGAAGCATATTATATTTTTTGCAACATAGAATTGTAATGTATTACTTACTGTTAGTAGCTCATCTTATTGGAGAGTATATTTAGTATACTGATGAAACTATGTAGTTTATACTTTAGTTTTTTACGTGGTTGTTTAGTTACTGCAGCTACATACCATTAACATTCCTTCCCTTTATTAATGCTACCCTTATCCCCTGTCCCTTTGATGCTGCTAATCCTGCATAATGCACGGGCATAATATGACTTTGAAACCCCCCGCCCACCTCCTACCCATTTCACAAGTAGTACTAATCACATATCTGCATTTCCCATAAATATGCTAAATTCCTCTTGATATGCTAATTATTTTGTCAAGGCGCTCTCCCCTCTTCCAACCTAGCTTAAATATACGCTCCAAGAGTGGTGTTTCATTCAGATGCTGTCTCCCCGACAGACCTGGTCTTCACCTGAGGACGGCTGCTTGCGTTGTGGCCGAAACGTCGTGAGAATTATTGTATGTTTTATTTTTATTATTTTATTATTTCCCTTCTACGTGACTTTACCGAAAGAACCAAGAAGATTGCCAAACGTGTTTGAGTTTTTGTCTTGTGCACCACTGCCTAAGCAGCAGCATCACGCAACAGGCTGTTATGCGGCGTGTGTGGCTTAACGATGCGTGAGGGAGCGAGGCCTTGCCTGGATTGGGCCGAGGCCTCCCCCTTCACCCCAGTGGCGCAGCGTGGGGAAGGATAAACTCAACTTAAAGGGATACAGCTAAAGGATAAAGCCTACGTGTTCGACAAACTAAACTTGTTCTTTGTTCTAATGTTCTAATGTTCACGCTGTCAACTCGCCGACATCTTCGAGATTTTAACGGAGGCTGCTTGATTGCAGATTCGAAATAACCACCTCACCACGATCACTGTGGGGTATCGTGAGTAACCGCAGCAACAACTACTGCAGCTGCAGCTGTGCCATGGGTGGGGCGGAGGCAGCGGCGGCGGCTGCAATCCGTCAAGGCTGACTCGTGGCGGTGTTCACTGCGTGGAGAGAGACACCACCATCCACATTGAGGTTGCGGCCTAGCTCGCGCCCCCCACGCACCCCCCTGCTTGCCTGGATATCGCTGCCGGCGAAGGTGCGATGCATGGAGAGAGACGCCACCCACACGGAAGTTGTGGCCTAGCTCGCCCCCTCACGCTCCTCCAAACACTCTAGCACACTGGCGAGAAGCCGTGTATGCGTGACGAGTGCGGCAAGACATTTCTCAACGCTCGGCCTACAAGTATATATATGTTTTTCCTTTCGCTTGTGTGTTAAACTGTGTGCAACCCTGATATTTTAAAGATGGCAATTCTCCTGCTGTGTATCCTACTGCTGTCCCTCCCAGCTATATCTAGTGCCACACTCAACTCTACAAACGGCTATCCACCTAACTTCTCGTCCATACTTGTTGCTCAATTATCCACTACACCTGCTAATGAAACAGCTTATAGACATATTCTTGGTTCTTTTGGTAAAGTCTCGTAGAAGGGAAATAATAAAATAATATAAAACAATAAAAATAATACATATTTTATTTTATCATTTCCCTTCTATGTGACTTACCGAAAGAACCAAGAACATGAATCCCTGCAGTTACGAAAGCTTTAAATCAAAAGCTTATAGACACTTCTAACCCTATCTTTGTCCCATTACTTTACCAGTACTCCTTCCAAACTTCATTCTGCTCTTAAAACACATCACCAACTGCGAGCTGCTGCTATTCGTCCAAGGTTCGCTGCTCATCATCCTTTCACAGAAAATACCTGTGCAGACTATTAATTCTACTTCATCCTGGCACAAATGTAAAGAACTCGTATAATTCTGTACATTTTTCTGGCAGAAAAGGTGTCGGTGTTATACATGTCAACATCAGAGGGCCTGTGATTAATTTAAATCAACTAAAACTTGAAGTGGCAAATCTGGACCGGGACATTTTTTGCCTAAAAAAAAACATTCCTCACTCCTGCCGTTAATGATTTGCAGATTACGATTGGCAACTACAACCTTTTACGGCGTGACCGAGGATCTAAAGGAGGTGGAATTGCCATCTATGTTCGTAATGCTATTGCATGTTCACCAGCTCACTCCTTGTTTAAAAAATGTTGCTTTGAAGGTATAGCTCTCAGAATAACTCTCCCAAATAATCAACAGATATTAGTAGTGTGCTGCTATAGACCGCCTATTGGGAAGGATGTTGAAGCTGCGTCTGCACCGAGAGAGCTTCTTGGGGGCCTCCCTAAAGGTGAAATAGTTTTAGTGGGTGATCTAAATTGGAATTGGCTAAACCCGCCGGCCGTGGCCACAAATTTTGCAGATGAATTTAGCCTGTTTCAATTAATAAATGTCTCCACAAGACCCAACCTAAAACATCCGGGACAGTCATCTCTGCTAGATGTCCTATTGACAAATGCCCCTCACAATTTTGCACTGACTAGTGTTCTGGCTAATAGCCTAAGTGATCACTCCTTCATATTTGGGGTGAGATCATCAGCCAGACCCAAAGCCCCCCCTAAATTGGTTGAGAAGCACTCCGAGAGAAACTTTAGCATTCAGGCATTTACTAATGATGTGCTTTACTCGGATATTGAAAAGGTCTGTGATATCCCCAACCTGACTACGGCTTGGGAGACCTTCAAAAATACATTTCTCCAAATTATTAACAAACATGCTCCGTTTGTATAGATTTAAAACTAAAGGCAACTGCCCACCATGGTTTGATCCTGTGATTACTAAGCTATGAAAACTAGGGACAAGGCTTGGGCATGTGCTCAGAAAATTAATTTGGTCAATGACTGGCTAGAATGCAGGATTTTAAGGAATAGATGCGTCAAAAAAATACGGCATGCAAAAAGTGCCTACTTTTCCTCCACTCTCCTGGAATCAAGTGGAAATGCCAGGATCTTCTGGAAAACAAAAAAAATTATCGAAAAGGCATCCAAAACAGATAATCTGCCCGTTGAGCTTAACCTTAATGGGGAATATTTTTCAGAGCCCAAAAAATTTGTTGACAATTTTAATCTTAATTTTTCTGAAGCTGGTAACCTTTTTGATAATGTACTGGGGGTCACCCCTGCTCATGCAAATTCCTATACACCTGTCCAAACATTAAACGAATTTAGTTTCCAGCCAATCCACGAAAGTAATGTTCTGAAACAACTGTCCTACCTCAAAGAGTCCTCCCCTCTAACGGAGCAGATAGTATTCCCGTCTTTGCTCTGCTAACTGTTGGTCACCTAATATATAAACCTATAGCCCATATTTTCAACTGGTCCATCCAACATTCCTATGTTCGTCCACTTCACAAAGGGAGCCCTAAAGATGATCCAAATAACTACCGACCTATCTCAATTTTGTCCCCGTTGACAAAAATTTTTGAAAAATTATTAAACTACCAAATTAGCAGTTTCCTGTCCGACAACAATCTATTACATCTAACACAATCTGGGTTCCGAAAAAATACAGCACATCTGCTGCATTAGTAGCCTTGATAATATGTAGTACTGTGCCAGTCTTTTTCTGGACTTGTCCAAAGCCTTTGATACAGTCGACCACAACACCCTGCTTAGTAAACTAAGTTGTCTCGGTTTCTCCAAACACGCAGTAGAATGGTTAAAAATGTACCTCTTTTCTCGCACCCAAACTGTATTCACAGATGGTTGAAGGTCACTGTTAAGATAAAAGGGATTCCACAGGGTTCCATCCTTCGGCCCCCTCTTGTTCTCTCTTTATGTCAATGACTTGGGCACTGATCTAGATCATTCCAGGGTAAATCTTTTTGCAGATGACACGATACTGATTACTGCTGGCCGTTCTCCGGATGACGTGATTGCCTTCGTATCTTCAAAATGAATGTTAACCCAAAACTCCCGAGCACACAATTTCGGCTGTCTAACTACAAAAGGAATATTTATGAAAGCTAAATTCAGCTGACATAGCAAAAGGTGTTATGCAAAAATGCATAAATTAATGTTCAATCGCAACTTAGAGGTGTGAAGCCAGCCAGGCTCACGATGTCCTTGCACGCTGGAATGAACGGATCTGACTTCAGCTGCATGTGTGTACTGTGTTAACTTCTTGACTGTTCTACACTATGGGAACCTCATTTGCCAGTAAAAATATGTTAATGTTTTTTTTACCCTTCTATCTGGCAACAAAACTGACACCTTTTTACAAGGAGTCATGTTTGCATTGACTGTTTCCAGTCGTATAAAGAGTTCCAGAGAAAAACAAAAATAAACTACTGTTTTGATATAACCTCCGTGTTCAACAGAGTTAATAGACTTGACTGCAAAAAAAATGTTTACACTGTCCCACACTGGCATAGTTAACAGGTGGTGGTGTGTCCAGACCCATGCCTGGTCACCTTCACCTGCTCAGTATTAATGCTTCCTCACTCCACCAAGTAATTCATTGAGGATCAATCAACACAGCCGAGGCTGCGTGTCTCTCTCTCTCCCCGTGGTCGCGTGGATTTCCCTCCGGATCCCCTGGTTTCACCTCCACATGCAGAGAGAAAACACCACCACGCGTCCAGAGTGAACACCGCCACGCTGTTGACGAGCCTCACCTTGTTGTTGTGGGCAGGTCGCTTCTGAAATCAAGAGCGGTATAGCAGCTCAAGCGGGCTTGACCTGGTAAACAATAAAAACCGTGTTAATATTTAAACAAAGTTACAAAGTGGCGAGCCGGGTGAAGACAAATTAAACTTAAGCGAGAGAATTGAAGCGAATGCGATCAGGCGAGGGTAGGAGGCAAGGCCCCGCGTTCTAAAGTTCCAACCTGGACATCGCTTCCATGCTCGCTGCTACTCAAATGACATCCGTACGAGAGAGAGAGAGTGAGCCTCTACCTCTGTAAACAACAACAACCACCACCACCACAACCGCGATAAGAATTTCTCACCTCGGATTTCAGTTCCCGCGCGGAGCGGCAACTTCCAGTTACCTCGTGACGTCACGCGGCAGCAGCAGGTGACATGACGTCACTTGCGTGGTACAAGACACTCCTCTCCCACAATTAGCGGCTCTGTAACTTAAATAAATTATGTTAATGAGCCTGGCCCAAACGTGGAGGGATGGGGCGTGGGTGCCGAACCGGTCACAACGAACTCGAGACGGCTTTCACGAATAAATTATGTTAATGAGCCGCCAGTCACTGGGTGTGGCTTTGCCCAAATAAGGATAGTGCTTGAACAGATAACGGAAGTGACCCAGGCAGAGGTGACGTCACGCTCAAGGGCGCGTTGGACGGGGTGGGGTGAATACCTTGGTGACATGACGTCACTAGCGAGGTACACCTCCCCCTGGCGTGTCACGCCGATAAGGTAATGCTGAGTGGTGACGTCACAGAGCGGGTTTGGAGTTTAAGTTGATTTAAATGAATTTTCCATTGCTCCCTCCCTTGAACAGAGACCCCTTGGGTGTGTGAGCTCAGCAACAACAATGTGGACATTATTGTGTGTGTGTGTACACACATGGACAGTGTGTACATTGTGTGTGTGTGTACCCTGTGCGTGTGTACATTGTGTGTACACACTGTGTGTGTGTACACTGTGTGTGTACACATCAGACTGACTGAGATGACTGTGCCCCCCACAGTGGGTACACACACACGTAGTGTACACACACAGTGTGCTCAACAGTGTGCACACACACACAGTGTACACACACACACTGTGTGTGTGTGTACACTGTGTGTGTGTGTGTGTACACACTGTGTGTGTACACTGTGTGTGTGTGTGTGTACACTGTGTGTGTGTGTACACTGTGGGGGGCACAGTCATCTCAGTCAGTCGACCAATGGCATCTTTTCACCAATTTATTATTTTCCAACTTTTATTTATTTATTATTTTATATATTATTGTTCGTTTTCTATCTGCGTCACTTTACCAAAAGAGCCAATAATATGTAGCGCATTCTCTGTTTTTTGCAGAGGTTCAAGGTTCAAATCCGACAGGCACACCTGGCAACCCCAGTAACATTCGCAAAAATATGCGCAGTCTGCTTAACGGCAGATGTAAAACATAGCGTTGTGTCATTCACAACGCACAGGTCATTGCATGTTGGTGTCACGGGTCAACATTGGGGTAATGCCAAACATTATCCAGAAACTACACAATGGAGATGGCACGTCAATGATCGCCCCCTACCGACAGACTCATGTCCACGTGCAGGCCGGTGCAGGGCCACCTTGTGCCACACAGGGGCAGCTGCCACTTAGGGGGCACCTTTAGATTGTTTGAGATGAGATTCGATACGAAACACTGAGTTACTGAGGCAATTAGGTAAGCGACTTATGAGTGGAAATATGATGTTGGTAACGAGTGAATGCGTGGGAGCTTCATTGTCTCTCGCTCCTGCCGACAGATTTACCCAGCCTACAGCTCCACAGATACCAGCCGCTCCTACTCTGCAGGGACAGCTACGCATGGTTCGAAATAAGTTCTAGATACACACAGACTCACGCAGAGATCCATAGATTAGCACCGTTGGTTACGTATGGTGCGAAAGACGTTAAACGTACACACAGAGACCTATAGATTAGCACGGTCGGCTATGTATGGTGTGAAAGAAGTTCCAGATACACAGAAACTCGGAGCAAGTTTGAGTCGCTTGTAGTCGTGGGCCGTGGAATTTGAACAGGCACGTGTTGCTACTGACAGTAGTTGAATATGGTTGGATTGACGCTGATAGAGACAACAACCGCTATTCGCCATTAAGTGGTGGTGACGTCACCACGACGCTTGTGCCAGGCCATGTTCACCTTGAGGCCACTGCCTTGGGATGAACTGTGTAGACTCGTCCTAAGCCATCAGATTCACCAACAGCAGCACGTCGCTTCCAATTTTTTTAGCAGTCCATGTGTAATGCGAGCGTAAGCGGGGTTTCGCTGCTCGGCTCTGGACCCATCATACGGCCCGGGGTATTGGGGGCAGGGCCCAGTATGTGGGCGTACGTGAAGGTCCGCCGCTCACCTCCGGTCCAATCGGATGCGAGGAGAGCAGGGGCGGAACCTAAGGGCGGAGCCAGCGGGGCGCTATGGGCTGTCGGGATCTGGAAGGTTCGGGGAAGGGCGTGGTGAGAGGGTGGAGACAGGATCACGTGGTGAAGGGAATATAAGTGGGATCCGGAAGGGGCTCCGGGTCAGTTGGTGGAGTCACCGAGCAGGACCACGTTGGGTGGCCGAAGGGTACCCGCGCCATCAGCCACGTGGCTGGAGACGCTTCAAGCACACCGTCAGCCAACGGTGTGCGGGAGCGGGGAGCGGTGCGACTGACGGAAAGCGCGCGGGGCACGCGAGAGGAGCAGCCAGTCTGCTGTCGGGACCAGCGGAGTGCGAGCGTCAAACGAGAATAAAGAGAGAGAGACGGAGACCCAGCAGTGTGTCGGCGAAATCCTTTATTACACATGTGTAATGCGGTTGTAAACGGCCCTTCTGAGGTGCCGTCAGGGGGGGAGGAGTTAGGTCACGTGGGGGGAGAGGGGTTGAGTATAGAAGGAGGGGAACCGGAAGAGCAGGGGGAGTGACTGGGAGCCAGGAACAGAGGAAGGCCACGTAGGGCGAAGCGGGGTGTGGCGAGATCGCCACGAACACGGGAGAAGCGAGGATCGGCACCGTTGGCCAGCGGTGACCGACCCGAAGCAGCAAGGAGGCTGCAGTCAGCAGCGGGGCTGCACAGAGAGAGTGGGCAGCGGGTCTGCATACAGTGACAGCCAGAGGGTCTGCACATAGGGGTAGCAGCGAGTCTGCAGGGAGGAGGTTACAGTAGATGAAGCAGAGAGTCAGAGGGGTGAGGAAGCTATAATAGCAGTGAATAGCCGGGGGCTACAAATACAGGAGTTATAACAGAGTGCCGTGTGGGTAAAGACGTGAACCTGAATAAAGACACGAAGACAGAAAGAAGTGTTCGAGTCCTTTTATTACACTGGAGTCAGAAGTGAAACGGCATGGCGAAACAACTGAGGAAGAAGAATATCCCATCTCCGGCGTCGGCTTCATCATCGGACGACGACGATCTTCCTCCTGAGGTCGGCTTCACTTCGGCGGAGGGAGAGATCCGTGAGGGCCCGGGTGTGGAGGAGGTTGCCGCTGCGTCTGACCCATCTGCGTTGAAGGACGAAGATTTAAGATGGACCCGGATGGCGGAGCAACTGGCGACCCTAAAAACCGTCATCACGGAGTTGTGTGACCTTGTCACGCCAAGGGCGGCGTTGGAAGGTGATGGTGGTGATCGGCAGGAGCCCGGGTCGTCTTCGATGGCGCCGCCATCGGCCACGCGGCGTGAAGACGCCATCTTGGGCGTGGCGCACCACGGAAGGCGGGAAGCCGCCATCTTGGGGCCGCCACGAAGATCGTCCGCCATCTTGGCGACACCGCGTTGCGACGCCTTGCTGAACTTGCCGCCGGAAGAGTCGGTGACGGACGGAAGCAGGCCAAGGAGCCGCAGTCGTCACCTTACAACTGTTAAGGAGTTCTCCATCGGGGGCGATTGGAGTGCGTTCGCTTGTCGATTTTTGGCGGCGGTACGAACGGCAAGGTGGACGGACGCCGAGGCGCTGGAGGTGCTTCCGACTCTCCTTGACGATGAGTCTGTTCGTTTTTTTCGCTCTATAAAAGCTGCGAAGAAGAAAACATTGCGTGGAGTGTTCGACGAAATGGCGGACGCGTACGAGCCACCGGATGACGCCCATCGCCGCTTCGTGCAGCGGCAACGCGCACCGGAGGAGTCGCCTGTAGCGTACAGGGGCGCCGTGCTGGAACTCGCGATGGCCGCTTACCCGGAGACGGAGCCTGACCTGCTGGAACCTCTCATCTTGGGGAAGATGTTGGAGTTATCCCGGGATCTGGGCATTCCTATGCCGGCTTGCGGTCACGAGAAACTCACGTCCCGGACCGCGGCTAAGTGTTTGGACGCCCAGTTCAATCTCCGCCGCTGGAAACAAGTCACGGCGTGGACGGGCGGTCCTGTCGTCGATGGGGGGGCCGTGGGGTGGGACCCTACAAAGGCCGTGTACGTGCCGGATGCGACCGGCCCAAAGGAGCTGTCGGCCGCCTCCACTCCGTGGCCGGCTCGAAGCGAGCCGGGGCCGCGGGCTCCGCCGCCGGCGCGGCCACGTCGGGACGGGGTGCCTGCTGCGCGCCGACCCGACGTCGACTGTTTCCGCTGCGGCCGTCGGGGCCACTATGCCAGGGACTGCTGGGCCCGGGTTCCGGGGCCGCCCCAGCAGGAGGCCTCGATCGCGGACGTCCCAAAGAAAGACCCTCCGGCACAGGCAAGTCGGTGCGCACCAGACACCCGGCAAGGCCTGACACCTCACTCATCGCCGTTGTTGTGCGACGCGGATGTTCTAAAATATGGGAGGCCAGTATCTGCGCCTTGTCGCTCGATAACGCAGTGGCGTAAGTTGGCTCGGCGGGTTGTCGCGGCCGCTACAGGTTCGTCCACTGTACCGGGGTCGATCCAAGGGGTGGACGTGCGTATTTTGGTGGATTCCGGGGCGTCCGCGACCATTATTTCGGATGTCATATTCCATCTTTTGAACATCCCACCGGGGGCCGTGAGGCCGGCTTACGCTTCCTGCATCGCTGCGAACGGGGGTAGTATGGGCATCGTGGGACAGGTGGACGCTAATATTTCTATCGGGGGGGTCTCGGCCTCGGGCGTTGTGTTAATTTCGAGGTCCCTGGCGGTTCCTTGCTTGTTGGGCACGGATTTTTTGGCTAAGATGCCCATTTTAATTAGAATCAATGAAAATTGCATTGAACTGCCAGGGGGCCGCAAATTGGCGTTTTTACAGTCCACCTGGGGGCGACCGGCTCCGGTTGCCCAGGTGCAGGCGTTATCGGAAGTTTCAGTTGATATTCCACCTGGCTCGCAGATGCTCATTCCCCTACGATACCGGAAGCCGGTTCCGGGTCGGCAGAGTGCTTGTG